CGATCCTATAAACCACATTATTCATACTGAATTGTGGTTAAAAATTAGAATTACATGTTTACCAAAATGTCATATGAAATGCTAATCAGTAAACGTGTGGCCAGTCTTTTGGTTGCAAAGTAAGAACACAAATTGCTATCTAAAATAAAGATATAACATCTAATCATTATATAAAATACCATTACAGTGTATTGTCACCCACTGGACAGTGATGGCTACCCCGAAGAGCCAATCACTCCATGAACTTCCATTGATTTCAATGGCATAGGTTATGTTTATTATGCGTGAATTATAAGCACCCAAAAAAATCTAATTTTTTAAATTGTGGCCACAATTATGAATATTTTTTGCTTAAATTTTAATATGATCTGTCATTTATAAATATCTAAAATGAATATTTACAATTTTTTGATATCTATTATACTTTTGATTTTATTCAAAATTTAGTATGTAGAAATGAAGCATCAAATGGAAAATCAGAAATCATATGATTAATTGTTTAATTAGTTTTCAAAGCTTCATATAATGAATTGAGATTTTTTTATATTTTAAATGTTAAATTAAAATTTACAATTTGAGCCACAATTTGATGACTAATGCTTTACACATCTATGAATGTCTTACACTTTTCAATAATATGACCAACTTGGTTTTAGGCAATTATAAACTTATTGGTTAAATTGAAAGTTATAAACTGTACAATTAATTTTTACTTAACATTTTAATTAGAATTCTTTATAACCACAAACATCCATATACTTAGCATTATGGTTATCAGCGGTTATCAATTAATTACCCTAAGGAATGATTTAAATATATGAATTTATTTACACAATTTTATATACTTTTAATTTCCATGAATGACATTTAACCAAGTTAATTTAGTTAGAAATAATGTTTTAATATAAATATTACAGTAAACACACAAAGCCAATTGATTTCACGCGTATTGTGAATGCAATCGTTTCGGACATTCATTTCACAAATGGTGGCCTAAGAAGGCATTGATCGACCGCTTATACCAAAAGCCTTATCTCTTTGGTATGATTTTGAACATTATTTTGTTAATTACTTTTAATCAAAAATATTATTTCACAATAAATAATATAATAATTACAAAACATGTTCTTACTTACCAGACTGGAACCAGGTGATTTGAGCAAGATCAAATATTTGTCTACAAGTTTATACCTTATGCTCGACTTTATTGTCCGACCATTTGATAAAATATTGCCACAATTATAACCAATGCTTTGACTATACGTTAGACGTATTAAAAGCCCACAAAAACATTTACTATGAGAGCGTTTGTACCGATTTTTGCGATCCGGTTATCGGCGTTGAGTTTAAAGCAAAGGCCGAGTGTCGGCCCGGAGTTGTCCAGTGGTTTACTGACCAGAACATTGTCGCCACAGTTATTGACTTGATTTTTGGTATACAATTCAGTTGTTTATTATATCAATTAAGTAAAACTATTTTATTTTAAATCAAAATTGTTGTTTAGAAATTCAATATCTTATAATAGACAGTATTAATAAAACACACATGGACAGTTCTATGCAGTGTTTTTATAGCATATTGATAAATAACTTTAAATTAAATTAATATAGCATGATTAATTGTTTCTACACATTACTAGCCAGCACAGAGACCACATGCGCCACATTTCAATGTATGGTATTATTTGTGGCTTATTGTGAGGACTGGCAGAGAAAGATGAGGGTAGAGATCGATGACGTGTTGGCCGATAGAGTGGTCACATTGGCTGACAGGCGGCGCATGCATTGCGTTCAGGCATTTATCGCTGAGACCCTACGCTATGGCACCGCCACACCGACACGACACGAGGTATTAAATATGCAATTTGACAACAATTATACAATAATTGCATGAGATTTACAGTATGTCCAACTATTCCTACTCTGTTATTATGAAATTAATTAACTGTGTATTACATACTAGCTGGTTGCCAACAAAACAATAGTATTGCAACACTCGTACAACATGTTGCTCGATGATCATCATTGGCTACACGCCGACCAGTTTGATCCGGGTCGCTTTCAAAACGATGCTGGTCAGTTTTTGAAAACATGATCAACCCCATTCATGCTCTTTGGCCTCGAAAGGCGTGTATGTAATGGTATATAATTGTTTAATTATTAATTAATTAAATAATATTTAAATAAAATTATATTCATTATTAGATTGTCATACGGTTTGTGATACCGGAGAAGTGGAACTGGTTTTCAAACAAATAGTTTTGGGATTCTATTTGAAACAAAAGTGATTGCATTAAACAGACGGCAGGGAAACGATCATCGGTTGGATATGACACCAAATAAGCTAAACTATAATCACATCTAACTCTTCAAAACCAAACAATTTGTAGATTTAATTAAAACTTGTGGCCAGAGATGAATGCCTCAAATTTGATGTCAGTCTATCATAAGTATGTGCAAAAATTACTCCTTAGTACTCCCAGTATAAAACCTTTGTTATGTAATTTATACACTATTCATAAGTTAGTCATATATAGTTTACCCTAATATAAAGTTTATAATTTTAAAGACACCTTGGTTATTTACTAACCATGTCACATTAATATAATCTAAGGTAACCATTTGATGAGTAATATAGTACCAGGCTAATAATAGGTGTTAATTAGTCAAAGCCTTGTAAAAATATCTATTAAATTAATGTTAAACATAACGTAGTTGCAATAATCATTATTGTAACTAGAATTGAGTGAAATTATTGTATTGAACTAGAGGCAATGCACCTTTTTAGCACATTTCTGGTTGCCTTAATAATATCCCCTGTTTTACTCTGATCTGTTTTAGTCTATCACATAATGTATTTCATTTACATATAAACTCAATACTATTAATATTTTAAAAACTATAAATATTTGTAAACTCACTAGGGTGACCAGAACGTCCTTTTTTATGGGTTTTGTCCTTTTTTCAACCTCTCAAAACAGTGTCCTTTCAAGTAGTCAGAAAGGACTATACTTTGTTCTTTTTTAAATTTTATTAATGTCAATATAAAAAAGGTGAATATGTTATAAAATATAGAAAATCTTATTAATTGCTATGCATTTTAGCAATGTAAAATATTGAAATTATAGTACACAAACAGTAAATAATAATAATAAAGTAGAAATCTATAGTTAAAATGTTGTAATTGTCAAGATAGAACTATTATAAAAATCAAGTAACTTATATTTTCAATACTTTTGGCCTAAACGATGTCATTTATGTAGTTTGTTAAAAGTGTTTTCATTTAAATACTCAGTAAAATGTATGACAAAACAACGGAAAAAACATAGAAATGATAATTTTTTGCGTTATTTTTATGTCCTTTTTTTAATGACTACTTTTGATCAGTCGTTTTTTTAAATAAATTTTTGGTGGTCACCCTAAAACTCACACATGATTACATAGTAAAATTCTCTTACACCGCTCCAAGTACAGTATAATCATACTCTATTAGCATATGCTAAAATAATGATTTTGATATTTTGTCCTGGTAGATGCTTATAAAAACATATAATATAATTAAAATTCCTAACATTTAATTAATATGTTGATTATGAAAACCCAATCCACTTCTCCATTACTACAGAACCTATGGTAGACTCTCGCGGATTTTAAAGTAGAAGCGCGTGGAAAATAATTCACAATTATAATCAACAAAGTTATTATTTTGTAACCTATTTGTTAGAATAAATTATTATCTTTTTATAATGAGTTATTACTCTTTATAATATATTTAATTAAAATAATAGAAAATTAATTCACTTTTATTATGATTTACTTATTAATGTTGTATATATGTTATAGCTGGGTTGTTATTATTTGGACGGCCATACGGCCTTGGTTATTTGTAAAGAATTGCACAATATTGATTTAATTTAAAAGTTATTTTATTAAAAATTATTTAAATAAAAGTTGGTACATAAAAATAGTCAACTATACTGTTTGTGCGCTAATCTGAGGGTGACTTTCAACTGATATTACAATTCACATTCACTACAAAAAATTTTTTAACCATGCCCACTTTTGGGCCACATTGCATAAACAGTGTTTACTATTGGGTAATACTGTACTCAAAGCTAAAACTGCTTTCAGAGAACTTGTTTATCATTACAGTTTCAATACTGTAAATACAATACAATTTCAAATATATTACTAAATTGACACTATATTTCAAATATGCATGCTTATTCTTAATTAATTATTATATAATGTAAAATTATAAATGTAAAAATTCAAATTATAACATATAATATATGGAAATATCATGCAAGTTGAATGTTGCAACGCCTTATAATATTATTGATTTTACCCAGGTTGAAACATTAAATATTAGTTGCACTGCATATCATAATTATTCACTTAAATATATTACAATTAATTAAAATATAGAACTGATATAAGAATATTCAACATAAATAGATTTTTTAGTTTATTTTCTGGTTAAGTGCATTATATACTTTTGATAATGAATTCTATATTAATATTAGGGAATATTATAATATTTCATTCTAACTCTTTTCTTATATAAATACAGTAACAAAACCATCGGCTCTGGGATTCTGTCATACGATTTTGGTTTAAAAGTTTGTTTAACACAATTAAATATTTGCACAAATCTATTAACAGTGTTATAGCAATTGGTTTAGCAAAATAACGAGTAATTATCACAACACAAACCCTCTCTCCGAACACTCTTTTGACAAAAACTGTAAACAAGACATGAGTGGAGCGAATGATGCGAACGATTGCTATATTGTTGACAGCTTTGGTGACGCCAACCAAATACGGGGTTCGGAGTCAACACACGAGCAATCATTGTGTGCCGTTTGCGGTGACACCGCTTTTGGCAATCACTACAACGCTATCACATGTCAGGGCTGTAAAGGATTTTTCAAGCGAAGCGTTACCAACAATGCTATCTATAAATGTGAGTTTAAAAACAATTGTATAATTGATTTGTATACGAGACGCAAATGTCGACATTGCCGACACAAACGCTGCCTGAGCTCCGGTATGGATCCCGAGTTAGTCCGAAGTGGAGACAAGATTAACGCAAACACTATTCAAGCTGTTAACCACATACGCAGTCACATGACGTCCAATACAGTTAACATTAGCCACAATGACATGATTACGTTGATTGAAATTCAGAACATGATCATTAACGAGGTCGTCCACTGGCAGCACGTGTTTGCGTCACCCACTGATGCAGAAGTCAAAAAGATTACGGCCTTTCCGTTGGAAGACAACGAATCAGATCATCAGAAAGCGAATAAACACGTGATTGAAATGACTGTTTTAACCCAACAGTTAATTGTTGCGTTTGCGAACCGATTGCCAGGTTTTGACACACTTTCAGAGAATGACCATGTCATTTTACTGACGGTATGATTATTTTTATAATTTAATTGTTTACTAAATTTTAGATAAATAGTAACATGCTGAAATGCATTAACTTGTTTATTAATTCAACACTCTAAATTAAATCATCATATAAAGTAATCATGGTTAAACATTAGGACAATATTAGATTAGATGATATAATGTTTTTAAGCTTAATCTAATAATAACATTTGCATATAATAATCATGTACTATCATTGCCATGTTATATTGCTACTAATACAGCATTGTCCAGTTATATCTATATCTGTTAATTATTTTTAATTAAACCAAAACTACTAAACATACGGAATAGCATTTACGTCAATAAAACTTTTAAATTAATTGATATTATAAAATCAAACCATATTTTTTCTAAAGCCATATATTTCTGTAACTTTGTCGTTCTTAATAAAAACTTATATTACATAAATAATTAAATTTTAAAAATTGATATAAACTTACATTTTAAAATTAATTTATACATTAGTTATAAGAATATCAATATAACAGACGGTTGACTGAAAACTTAAAAAGGTATCAAAAATTAATGACAAAAATTTGATTTAACTTTGTGTTTATTAAGGCAGAAAACGTGTCAATCATTTAACCCTCACTCTTGTATTTCGGAATCAATCCCCTTCTAAAGTAAGTCTATTCGTATCTAAATATGATTTTGTTATAAATAAATATACATCATTTATCATGTAACCTAATTAGAGTATTGTGTTATTTAAATAATAATAATAATGTTTTTAATAAGACTTCTCTTAAATTATATTTAATCTTGCTGTTGAAAGTTTTTAATTAACAATTGTTGTGTTTTAAATAATAATTTTAAACACAATTGTTATAATAAAAATTTACAATATTAAGTAATTAATTAAATAATGAATTAGTGTAAAATTAGTGAAACATATGGTTTATAGAATGAGTAGTCATTACTTAGTCATATAATTAATTTTTAATATAATTATTTTATAACAAGTTTATGGCTATACTTTAACATAGGTTTAATGTTATCTTATTGGTAATGTTAGGTCTATGAGACCAATGCAAATAACTAAAGCATAGAAATACATGCAAATGCATGTTTTTACCGGTTAACTATATATGTTTGGGACTTTGGGGGTAAACGAATTACATAATAAGGGGTGTTTTGACAAACTTTTATTTTGCATATAAATGCATATTTGGCTCATAAATGCATATAACTGAATATTTAATCTAAAAGCATCAAACCTTATGGATTTGGACAAAAATTATAAGTAAAAATTAATAAATTGTTAGAAAACTTACAATCAATTGAAATCCATATTAGTTTAAGGACAAATATTAATTTATAAAATAAATGTATATCTAATTTTCATTAGGTAGTAGTAATCCAGTATTAACTATTGTGTTTACAGCAATTGTTATAGCGTTTTAAACAAAATAATAATTTATAAATTTATATTTTGCCACTAATCACAAAATTTAGATGGATTTTGACAGCTAAACAACCATTTTAATCATAACATTTTGCTATATTGCATTTAAAATATATCAAATAATATTTATAGTACATATTTAAAAATTTATAAGTGCATATTTGACCATTTTTAAATGCATATTATATGACATATTTGACTGCTTATAAATGCATATATTTCTATGCTTTACAAATAACCAGAGTCCTTATTTTAAGGGATTTTAGTACCAATCATCACTTATACACAACTACATGTAAATGTATCTTTTGATAGAGATTTTCATACAAGGAGTTAAAGTGAACATTTTGGGCCCGGGCAATGCATGTGATGTTGTCAAGTAATATTTGTATTTAAAATACATTAAACTTTATTTATTATTTTACATAAACTGTTCATTGAATTGAATTGAATTTTATTTTAATCCACCAAACATTCACTAATTTTAAACAAATTTGATAAAACTCAAGTATTGTTTTAGTTTATAAACAGATTTCAATATTTAACAACATCATATGCATTGCCCTGACTTAAAGTGTCCACTTTAACTACTTTTATGAAAATCTGTACAAAAAGATACATTTACATATAGTTGTGTATGAGTGATGATTATTACTAAAATCCCTTAAAATAAGGACTCTGCAAATAACTATGAACAGTGTACAGGCCGAGTGGTAATAGGCCGCATAGGCTTCAATGTTATGAGGATTAGTAGTGTTAATTTGCAGCATAAAACAATGCAATTTTTTCGCACCTAGTTCACAAAAAGGGTTGCATTTGCCATCAATG